GGAGGTGTACAGACTCGTGTGTCTTGTTTAGTTTATAAATGATCGCTTTCTTGTTTTTGTACTACCAGAATTGACACAGCAAACATATACAAACAAGATAACTTGAAATCTTATACACGCGGAGGTTCATGGGCGACGCAATTGAAGGATCAAAGAAAACCCCACACACATCTAACAAAATGTACACACAAGAACGCAATAATTGAAACATCTGCATCACTTTTGTTACATCAATTTGCTTCTTCGTATCACATTATTTGTGTTCTTTGTTATAAAAAAAAAATATTTTTATAGTAATTTCTTCTTTACGAAAATATATGATACATTTATTTTAAAGAAGAATAAAGAACCATCTGAGACAAAAAATATTTAAAAGTGTATTAATAGCTATAAATAATGACCTTTTTTTTTTAAAATGGGTTTTTCATTTTTACATAGTTAACAATAGAAATAATAAAACAATGATTATTTAATGAAAATAAATGAAATATACACATTGATATCATAACCTTTTTTTCTAGTTCCTTAATTGTTCGATTACTACACAGGTATTAATTTTGTAAACATAGATGCCATCATTACCCGGAGTGTTGCCTGAATAAAACACTGTTCTATACTGACACCATGGCCATTACATTCTGTTCACGTGCTACCATCAGTTGTTTGAGTTTTGGAGTTTTCTCTCTCAAATGAGTGGCTGTCTCAAGCTATGGAGCCTCATCTCGGATATTTTTTTTAGGATTAACATGATTGAGCTTTATCGCACACCGAATTTATTACCATCAGCCGTCAATAAACTTTCCCAGATAATATTTGCTAATTTAACAACAGTTGTCGTACCCTTTTTAAGAGGTCAAAAATTAAAATTGAAAATCAATAGAAAAGGTGATGTTGCGTCATAGCTTCAATCTGTAGAGAACAATGTGAATAAAAGTTTCATTTGTCTACTTTCTAGTAAATGAAATGATTAAAATAATTAATACTCAACAAAATTATTAAAAATGTTCGAAAAAAAACCCACATATTGCATGCTGTATGCGGTTCATTCATCTATTTTAATTTTTTTATCTTGTAGTTTGTTTTATAAAGGTGAAGGAAATAGGCATGCACCCATCCCGCCTACAGTCCAATCAAACAACTCGAGTTTGATAACACAAAACTGTACTTTCCTTCCATTACTGATTGTCCAACAAAATATTTGTTGTCTATACCGAAGTACCTTAAATGCTATACATTTAAAACAAATAAATAAAAATTAAATTTTGTATTGTGTTTTTGCATTTTTAAGCTTCGTATTCACAACCGGTAATTCGTTTCGCTGCAATTTTTTTTTTTTTGATGTCTCGTTCTAATGAGAATTTGATCTAATAGATATGTATGTCACGGTGGCCTCTAAATTAAAACGAACGGAAGTCATCCTAATTAAACACACACACACACACACACACACACACACACACACACACACACACACTCACACACACACACACACACACGTACACACACACACACACGCACACACACACACACACACACGCACACACACACGCACACACACACACACACACACACATTGGGCAATAATGCAAAGCCGGACTCTTTTGACTCATTAAAGGTTATTGTCAAACTTAGTTTCTTGTTCCTTACCGCAAATAGGCTGTTGTAAAATTGATAAAGAAGAAAGACACGAGACAGACCTCTTTTTTAAGATAATGTCAGAAAAATGCTGCAGTCGATATAATAACCAAGTGTACTCAGTTATTTAAATATTTTTGATCATGCTTAATAAAACAATTATAATGTTTAGCGGTATGTTTTCCAAACCAAAGCTAACGATGCCGTTTATTTTTTATTTATTTATTTTTTTTTTTATTTGTCCCTCACGTTAGGGATCCAGAAATAAAGAAATGACACCATCGACGAAACGTGTTTAAACAAATTTTAACACTACTTAAATAAATATTATTAAAATAAAGCTAATGTTTATGAATTATATGTGAAAAATATGGTACAAGTTGTATTTTATTTTTTACCAAAACGAGAACACATTTTTTTGCCTTCTGAATAATTGCATACATTATATAAGTAAAACAGTAATAGACATGGTGCATTTTGTTATGATTTGTTCAATTCGTATTTGTTTGAGCTATTTTGTTAAGTTATTTCCCTTGAAATTAACAATTGTGTCCCTTCTGTAAGGGATACAGAATAAATATTAAACAAAGGGATTTACGTGTATATGCATTGTTTTTTCTTACATAAAGAGCTTTTTTCAATAAAGTACATGTTTATTCTGAGTGAAAACAATATATAAGGTAAAGGTTAAAAAAATCTATTTTACTGCACGAAATTGTGATTTATATACAATTATGTAAATTAAAATTTTTAAACATACAAAAATAACATCGTATTATATCAATACTTTTCCAATGAAATTAGTACTGCGTTTTAATTTGCTATGAACTTTTTTGAATATATCTTTTTTTTTAAACGATTAATTTACTTTTCCCAAATTTTCGTGCAAAATTTTTAATTAAATAAAGTTCACAAACAAGCATCCTATTGTCAAATTAAATATTACCAGACATTGTAGTGTTACACGCTTGGAGGAGGGGGTGGGTGGATCGCATCAAAGCAAAAAAAAAAAAAAACATACACACACGCACATTTTAATTGAAGTTCCAAAATGCATTCAACTAAAATTGAAAACTCAGGAATTGTTGGGGAGGATGACTTCTAGAAGGAATGAGCTGATATTAGAGAAAACATTGCTACAACCTTCTGTGTTAATCAATGACTAAAGATTAGCATATCGCTTGTATTGACTTTCAACATTTTAAAGATATTAGTTTTGTTAACTGGCCAATTGACATGTCTGACTCGACATGATGGCCCAAATACATTGGGACACAACACGGGTGGCCAAAGCAGTATAGATCTCAACCCATGGGCCACAATGATGTGACCTCTGAGAACGGGTTGTAGCGGGTTGTTGTAGGTTGGGTTGAACTTTACCAGGAGGCACCTAAATTTATTTCTTTATCAAATCATTGTCCAGTTTATAGAGTTGATGCAATATTTTACTGTTGGCTTTGTCAACTTCTGGCTCTAATAACAGGGGTTAACATTATTTATAAATTAAAACTTCAATAAAATCAACGTGTCTGATTTCGGAGTAATATTGCACTTGAGAGTAAATAATGTTGGTTTCTGTTGTTCTTGATTTTAATGTATTAAAATAAAACTAAGGTTGTTTAAATCAAAGAGAGAAATCACGGAAACAACATATTGAGTGGTCGCTCACCCTTCACTTCAACTCTCAGACTTTCTACTATATCACATAGTTCATTCATATCGTGATAGAGGGTAATTTATTATTTTTAACATCAGTTTTCACATATTATTATATCTATCAACGAGAATAGATTGATCTACAATAGTGGCATTTAACTTCTACAAACTATCCTACAGTACTCACACTATCCTATCGTAGACTGATTTCTAGCACAAAATGGAGGCCACCCAGTTGACGAGAATCATTTTATTATATTGTTGACATGAATAATGTTTTTTTTTTACTTTATAGAGGCAGTAAAACAAAAATAAGACAAATTAAAAACTTATACCAAAATATAATTTAGAAGTTTAATATTTTTAGAATCAATGTTATAACAGTTGCAAATCCTGATAACTTAAGAATATTTTTTTTTTTTAGTTTAAAGTTACATTTCTATTTATTTTCATGAAACCTAAGTTATAACCGGATGTTTCACTTTCGTAAGACAAACATTGATTGGCTGTAAAGGAACTCCGTGATCTTCTTCTTCGTTCTTCATTTAATGTTGGAAGGGATCACCACTAACACAAGTATACGTGTCAATAGATTATGCGCCATTGTGGCATTTGACTCCATTTTCACCCTATTTTCCATTTATTTTTTTTTGGATTCGCTTCCATAGCCGTTGTCCAAACAAGAACAAACTACAAGGCAGCATTTTTTTTTATTTTGGAGTTGTCTCTCCTAGAAGAGTGGCTGTCCTCAGCTAACCAGCCTCATCTGCCCGAGGGTTCGAACTCGAGAAACTTTTCGGTTTAGCAACCATGAGCTTTTCCGACTCGACCACGCCGACCCATTAAACTGGTATCTCTTGATGTGCAGTGTTCGAGCATATATATACTATACTTTGTTTTCTAAAGTAATGTGTTGTCTGAAAAGAGAAAGTAATTAAGACTTTTTTTTTCTTTATATTAATGGGTAGTGACCTAAAAAGCGGTTTATTACCTCCCCTATACAAATCGTTAAAAATATGTAAAAATTGCAGGGGGGTAAATAACTTATTTTGAACTGCTGCTTTAACTTCTGAAATGGAATTAATAATATGCAGTTTACTTGAACTATCTTTTTGTTTTATTTGAAAATGAAATTGTATTTGTAATTAAAGTGTAGTAAGGAAAACTGAAATATACATTTTTTTTTTAATTTTACATTTTTTTTAAAATATTATTTTTAAAACGAATATAGAAACATGCGTTTTGTTTTTGTAAAGGTTATCTAGTTAAGGGTACTTATAATTTACAACAGTTAAAATAATTCACAACACAGATTTATTTTTGGCTCCCTATCCAAAGGGACAAATATTCAATTGAAATTGTAGAGGCTGGAAGACAGGAGCAAATAGGCTACTGAAGACTTATGGCGAAGAAAATACGGAGACATGAATCTTTAAAGTTTTTCAACATTTCGACTTTCAGTTCTAACCTAAATTATTGCAGAATCTGATTAAGAAACAGTCTACATTACTTTAATTATCCTCCAACATTAAGTTTTTTTGTTTAAATTTAGCTTTGAGTAATACACGTTTTTCTTTTGCTTAAAACATTTAATTTTTTGCCTCGAAGAGATAAACAAATTTTATTAAACTGAAACACACACACACAATCACACACACACACACACAACGCTATGGTTAAATAAGCGACAAGTGCACTCTGTCTCTGGTCTATTTATAGGACAAGCTCCTCCCATATAGGACAAGCTCCTCCCATATAGGACAAGCTCCTCCCATATAGGACAAGCCCCTCCCATATAGGACAAGCTCCTCCCATATAGGACAAGCCCCTCCCATATAGGACAAGCTCCTCCCATATAGGACAAGCTCCTCCCATATAGGACAAGCTCCTCCCATCTGATCCTCTGCTTGTGCTTGATACAATTTTTCTATTCTCTTGTAATATCATGTTAAAACACTTTATCTGATAATAATTCTAGTAATGTGTCATGTCTCTTTTAATGTTCATTTAACATTCTGTTTGCTGTAGTACCAGTGAAGCATGACACTAGCCCCCTGCTATTTGCGCTACATAATTCGTGATGTCTATTTCTGTTTGCTATAGTACAAGTTACAAGTGACAAGATCTATACCATGTTCAGTGTATACATTATGTGACCTATTATTTTATTATATGTATATCAACGTTATCCCTTACAGTTTATCCCTTACAGATGTGTTAGCCTTTAAATGAATTGAAATCGAGTCATCAGCTAACGTCAGAAAATAGAATGCCTGATCTAAGTACAGAGGGTAGTTGATGTTAGCAGAGTGTGTGGCTCGTGGATGGTGCAGATCTATGTCCAGACCAGCTGGTTTGGATGGATAAATGTTCATTTTACACTGTTACCTGTCTGTATTGTTCATGTTCAACCCTCGTGCTATATGTTACCTGTCTGTATTGTTCATGTGCGACCCTCGTGTTATGTGTTACCTGTCTGTATTGTTCATGTTCAACCCTCGTGTTATATGTTACCTGTCCGTATTGTTCATGTCCAACCCTCGTGCTATATGTTACCTGTCCGTATTGTTCATGTCCAACCCTCGTGCTATATGTTACCTGTCTGTATTGTTCATGTTCAACCCTCGTGTTGTGTGTTACCTGTCTGTATTGTTCATGTTCAACCCTCGTGTTATATGTTACCTGTCTGTATTGTTCATGTTCAACCCTCGTGTTATGTGTTACCTGTCTGTATTGTTCATGTTCAACCCTCGTGTTATATGTTACCTGTCTGTATTGTTCATGTTCAACCCTCGTGTTATGTGTTACCTGTCCGTATTGTTCATCTTCAACCCTCGTGTTATGTGTTACCTGTCCGTATTGTTCATGTTCAACCCTCGTGTTATATGTTACCTGTCCGTATTGTTCATGTTCAACCCTCGTGCTATATGTTACCTGTCCGTATTGTTCATGTTCAACCCTCGTGTTATATGTTACCTGTCTGTATTGTTCATGTTTCACCCATGTTGCCATACATGTCCGTACGTTACGAGATAACAAACAGTAGCTCCATATTCCGACCACTGTACAAGCCGACAACTTCAACTGTTTTAACTGCCTGTAACTCTGTACGTCCCAGCTGGTAATGTATCTCTATACTATTCTCTATCCCTGCTTATTATATATATATACATATATATATATATATATATATATATATATATATATATATATATATATATATATATATATATATATGTTTTATATGCAAAGTAGGTATTACGTACTTTAGTTTTTAGGTCCTATGTATGTCGTTTTTTTCCTCTCGTGATTTTTATAACTTCATCCGTTAATCTCACATACTCCTCCATAATCTACCATCACAAACCTGGGCTGCCAATTAATTACAATCGATTACTGCGTTAATCGTCGGATTAGCAGTTTTAATAAAAAGAATTAACTTTAACAGCGCTGTCTTGAACATCAGGGATTGTGGGTTGAATTCTCACTACAAGGGAATGGGAGGGTGGGGATAATCGTCCTTCACGAGCTACTGATAGTGTTTTAAAGCAAAATATTTTCACTTGAAGCATTGGTAGAGTCAAAAATAACTAAATAGCTGACACACGGCTAAATATGAAATTAAAAAGGTTATTTAGGTTATTTAGGTTTCGGTTTAGAGCCGATTTATTAACCTAGTGCCCTTTGTGTTTCTCCCTCAACGGACATCTATTACGTAAGCAATGTTTACGCATGTGATTATTGCAAGTCTACCACCTTCCCCCATTTCGGGAGTTTTTACATTTAGTTGAATACATTTTTAAATTTCAACTAAAATAGATGTGTGTTTATGTTTTTTTTTAATTCTTTTGTTTTAGTGCGATCCACCCCACCCCCACATTTAAATGTGTAACGCTACAACGTCTGGTCAAATTTAATTTGAAACCGATAATCCTGAAGACAATAAAATATTCGTTTGTGAACTGTATATTTTTTTCAAAATTGCAAGAAAAATTTGGTTAAATTAAATTATACCTGGTGTTTTTTTTAAAAATATCAAACTATTGATCTTCAAAAAGGGAGAATACTAACTAAAACACAGTTTAGAAATCTTTTGAAAATTAGTAATTTCATACGATGTGAGTTTTTATGTTTCACAATTTTAATTTACATAATTTTATATAATCACAGGGGGAGGCGTGGTCGGGTCGGATCATGGTTGTTAAAATTTGAAAATAAAAAGACTCGAGTTCAATTCCTCTGGCAGATAAGGCACGATTCCTTCCAACACTAAATATTAAGAATGAAGAAGAAGATATAAATCACATACCGTAATATTGTACAGCAATATCGATTTTTTTTCAGCCTTTTTATTTTATATTGTTTTTACTCAAAATAACCATTTACTTTATCAAAAAAAAGTTATTTAAGTAAGAAAAAACGATGCATAACTTCACGACAATTAAATGCAAGGGAAATAACTTTACATAACAGCTCAAACAAATACAAATCGAACAAGTCACAACAAAATACACAATCTATATTACTGTTTTACTTATAAAATGTATGCAGTTGTTCAGTAGGCAAACTTTTGTGTACTAGTTATAGATACAAAGAAAATACAACTAATGCCTTATTTTCACATAGAATTTTGATGCAATAGCTTTATTTTAAGAATTTGTATTTAATTAGTGTTAAAATTTGCTTTACCCTATGTACTATTCAAGTTTTGGGCTATTTCTGGATCCCTACAAAAGGGACACAAGTAATATGATGAGTGAATGTCATGGGTTAGGGTTAGGGTTAATCTTTTGGAATATTTAGTTATTCCCTATTTAAATGAACTCTAAAAAAAAATCAACATAATGGTGGATATTGTTTTCTCGAAAAGAGGATTGTTTCTAAAAACGATTATTTGTTTTTGTTGAAGATACGGAAAAATCTGAAAAAAAATATCGTGAAGAAACTAATGTTACTGTTAACATGAATTACTTCACGTAGTCTATATTATTAGTACTACATTGAGACAACTTAAACCACCATGGGCACACCGTCAGCAACAGTCAAGAGTAATAAAGAAGACAGCACCACCACAGAAAAATACAACCATAAGCTGTCAAAACTAACGACACAGAAGACAGCACGACAGCAACAACCACACCCTTAAACCAGTCGACCTCAGCAGAAACCCAAACAGAGAAGAAACCCCACACCCCCCACCTGCCAGTGTTACTACTGTGTTACTTGTCCTAAGGGAAAACCCACATGCTCGACATGTGTCTTTGTGTTTGATAATAAATATGACAGAATATAACATACGAATGTACCCAACCCTTATCCCAACCCAACACAGTGACAACAGAATAATTGAAGCGACACAGGGGGGAATAAAATATGGGGGGGGGTCGCCTTTCAGAATTTTAAGGGGTGGACTAAAATTTCTAGAGTGGGGGGGGGGGGGTTTATATCAGATGTTTTACAAAGTATATATAATCTATATAAATTCCATTTCGTTCGGGGTGCGGTAGACTTTCTTTGAGGGGGGGGGGGGGTCTTCGCCTTCACGAAGAGATGCCTGGAAGAAATTCTAAGTAGGCCTACTATCAACCTAACACACCTCTTTTAGTAGAGTCTACTATCAGAAATTGGTATCTTCAATCATCCGTGCCTTCAAATATCCTAATAATAGAGAATTTAAAAAAAGTAAATTTAACATTTATTTATTTGAAATAAAATCGCTTAAAATAAAAGAAAATAAATGAAAATAAATAAATGTTATCTCCCCTGAACTGTCTCATACTTAACAGTAAGTGTAGGTGACACTTTCAGTGCAATAGACATTTTACGTAAAGGTGAAAAAAAAAACCGCTCGATTTTCTAGAATATACAGATACCAAACGATTTTTTTGTAACTATACTGCTATATACTAATATTTTAAATGGGATAAAAAAATTGTAAAATTGTTAATGTTTTTATGAAATCGGAAATAGAGTTGTTACACTTCCGGTTATTAGACGGCCTGGCCTAGCCGAATTGATTCCGCGTGTGACTCGGTAGAAAGGAAATGAGCCTACTCAGCTATGTCTGTTAGGTACCTGAATTATGCTAGGCGCAGTGTGGCGCCAGGTTATTTAGCGACAATGATTTGATAAAGAAATACATTTAGGAGCCTCCTGGTAATGTTCAACCCAAACTACAACAACCCGCTACAACCCGTTGTCGGGGGTCACATCATCGTGGTTCATAGGTTGAGATCTATACTGCCTTAGGCCACCCATGTTGTGGCCCAATATGGTTGGGCCATCATGTCGAGTCAGACATGTCAAGTGGCCAGTGAACAAAACTAATATCTTAAAAATGTTGAAAGTCAATACAAGCGATATGCTAATCTTTAGTCAGTGATTAACACAGAAGGTTCTAGAATTGTTTTCTCTAATATCAGCTCAATCCTTTTAGAAGTCCTTATCCCCAACAGTTCGTGAGTTTTCAATTTTAGTTGAATGCATTTTGGAACTTCAATTAAAATCTACGTGTGTATATATATTTTTTGTTTTTTTTGCTTTGATGCAATCCACCCACCCCTCCTCCAAGCGTGTAGCGCTACAATGTCTGGTTATATTTAATTTGAGAATAAGATATTTGTTTGTGAACTTTATTTAATTAAAAAATTGTAAGAAAATTTGGGAAAAGCAAATTAATCGTTTAAAAAAAATGATATAATTAAAAAAAGTTCATAGCTAATTAAATCGTAGTACAAATTTCATTGGAAAAGTAGTAATATAATACGATGTTATTTTTCTATGTTTCAACATTTTAATTTACATAATTTTATATACATACTGTCGTGCAGTTGTATCGATTTTTTTCAACCTTTATCTTATATATCGTTTTCAGTCAGAATAAACATTTACTTTATTAAAAAATAACTACACGAAAATCCCACATTTAATATTA